AGCGCAGGGCAGCGCAGGGCAGCGCAGGGAAGGGCAGGGCTGGGCTGGTTGGAGAAGGACGAAACGGTTGGCGTCCCGGTGGCTGCGGTGGCTGCGGTGGCTGCGCGGGCCGGCAGAGGACACGAGGTGGAAGAGAGCAATCATCAAATCGGATCCGGGCGACGCAGCAGCGGAGCGGAGCCGTTCGTGATTGGCAGGATCACAGCAGGACGACGCAGCAGGACAGAGCGACAAGGACCCGAGCCATGGCCGAGGCACGGCAGGGCCAACGCAGTGAGAACTAGGAAACGCTGGCTGCGTTCGCGCTTTGCACCCAGAAGTAGGACGATTACCTGCTTGAACAACAGTTGTTCTTGACTAGTACAAGTACAATATGCACTTGCATTGAAAATATTTCGCTTAAGGTAGCATATCGCAGCCCAAAATACACTGCTTGGACCAAGGACGGTATGTTCGTCATGCGCATCCTAGCCAGAAATCTTATTCTCATAACAAGAACATTTTCTGTCAATAATTGGGCTTTCTGGGGCCACGGTCCTACATGACTGCGCCCTCTAGTGGCCGTGCGAGCGACGATGCGGACGCGCCCAGGATGGTGCCCAGGATGGTGGAGGGGAGGGCCCAGGGGCGCGGGCGGGGTTAGCGACAAACGCGGCGAAGCTCTTGAAAACAGAGGCGCCGGCTCACCGCGGCTCACACCGCCCTGCGCCAGCGCCACGCAGAGTCCCCGCCTGTCACCTGACACAGCCAGCCCAGTCCGCCCGCAGACCAGCGCCATGAAGGTCCAGCTAGTGCTCGCTCTGGCCGTCCTGGCCTCGTCGACGTTCGCCGCGGTGAGGATCATCCCCGCGAGACGGCCGCCCACAATTGTGCATGTGCATGTTTTATGATATTCACTCTTTTGGCAGGAGGAGGAAGCTATGAAGAAGGAGGCGCTTGAGATCAGGGGCAAGTGCCTTGCCGATCTGAAGGGCACTGACGGTGAGCAATGAAGTCTGGCTATCACACGGTGGCGGTGCGCCAGCCAAAGCGGGAAGTGATACGTTCAAAGACATTTCTGAACTTGGGAGCAGCTCTTTTTCTTTAAACAACATTTAGAAAACGTCCTTGTGAATGAATGATTTGGTTTTGTGTTTCAGAGGATTTAAAAGAAATTGAAGAGAAACATGAGGTCAGCACCGATTTCGCCAAAGTAAGTATCTTTACATCTCCCTATCATACTGCCAAGGGAACCCATGTATTCATAGAAGTTATCCATATTATTTTGAATCCTGTAAAGTAGCATATGCGAGACTAGTAGGTGTCAATAGGCCAAGTTACTGGAGAACCTCGTGGGATTTAGTAGTTATACTTGACCCTATACTTGCGAGTGGACTGGTTGCCTACTCGCTCGACATTGATAAATGAAGAAAGCAGCTGGTGAGCACATGCAACATGCAAGTGATCACCACTTTTAACTCAAAACCATGCGATAACTGGTGTTTTGCGATTCCCACGCTAAAGGGCATGATAACCCACAGGAAAGTGAGAAAAGTATCACATTATTGTGATAAAATCATCACAAAAATTAATTAATAACTTTTTCATACAGTTTTTATGATGGTTTTATCACAATAATGTGATACTTTTATCTCATTTTTTGGGTTATCTTGCGTTTTAGCGTGGAAATCGCAAAACACCAGTCATCGCAGAAATTCAGTTTAAGTATCACAAAGCGGATTTCAGTGCCCGTACTGCGGCCTAGCCGGAGTCTACAGGCGCCGAGCTCGCCCAATTTCTAAATAAACATGAGAAAACAGGCCTGGATGATCCCCTACGTTAAATTTGAGTGCTATTCGACGCGTCCGTGCAACAATATCCTATCTGTTTCGCTTCCCCGAAAGACTAGCCTATCTGTTTTTCGGCGCTCTCTGCAGCGTTGTCTTCTTCTGGTTTGCCAATATTAACGGTAGATAAAAAGTAAATACTTCTGCGTGTTCCTGAAGGATCAAGGTACAAATGGCAAGTTTTACTTTACGCCGTAACGCCGTGCCGAGGCCGCCGAGGCCTCGACTCCAACGACGTGCACCTCCGGCTCCTAGGTGTAGCGCTCGTCCAGGGCTATTACGTGCCACCTTCGCGTAGTCGCGTAGTCGCGTAGCCGCCTGCCGCAAGCCCGAGACTACGCGACGAGGTGGCACGCGTAATAGCCTTAAAGGTCTCAGCAGAGACGTACGACGGCAACGCACAAGGGCACGCGATTCTCAAAACAAAAAGGCGGACCTGTAGTTGGGCAATTCCAGAAAAAAATGTCAACAATGTCGAAAATGTCCGTACGTCACGCGATTTGTGAGCGACTGACAGGCAATATTTTTTTATACTAGATTTTTTTAATTCAGATCGTCTATTTGTTAACATGCAATGTCAAGGTTTTTTCTACCGTTAATATTAAGAAGAAGACAGCACTGCAGTGAGAGAGCGCCGAAAAACAGATACGCTAGTCTTTCGAAGCAGCGAAACAAATAGGCTAGTCTTTCGGGGCAGCTAGGATATTGTTGCACGGACGCGTTGTATTTGAATACTAAAAAGTGTGTAACAGTGAAGTTGAACACAAGTGTTCAACTGCAGGGATAGCCATGTAGCTTTGGACACTTTCAAGAGTTAAATTTACTCTTGAACACTTTATTAAAGAATTCAAATTTCCCGTCTAACACCCCAAGAGTGTGGTGCACTATAGAGTCGCAGAAGAGCGTCGATGGGCCAGCCTGTTATTACGAAACTACACGGGCTTGTTGGCTTGTTCCCTGCCAACTGGATTTAAAAAATTGAAATAACAGCGATAAATATGTCATGAAATTTTCACAACCCCCAAACATTGACCTTGTCCTTCTCATTTCACAATCTCAGACCGACCTGTACTGATTTTTTTGTCAGTTAAAACGTACAATTGCTACAGCAGGAATTACTTATCAATTTGGCAATCATTTCGTATAGTTTCGTTCAATATATACTAATAAAAAATCAAATTGTCACTAATAATAAAAGGAATTAATCCGTATGACTGATAGAAAACTATAATCAGTATTCAGGCTGCTTAAAAACCTAACACGAGTACTGACAAAGGGCGGCGAAAAAACCAGTAACAAGATGAGAGTGCAGTTCCCTGGACACAGCTAAAATTATTTTGTGTTTCCAGAAAATGACGCTGTGTGTTTTCCGCGCCTACAAGATTGTGAGTAACGACTGACCCTCCGTAAAATTTTGAGAACACAGGCATTAGCACTGTGGGAGATCCAGCCAATTATTTCGTTAAGATGGTCTTACCATCGTCATCCTCGCCTCAAACACTCAGGGCTCTCATTAGACACTGACGCTATTACCTTCCTGTTTCCCACAGATCGACGACAAAAACAAGTTTTCTAAAGATAACGTCGTAGAGGTGGCCAAGAAGGCATTTGATGGAAAGCCCAAGCAAGAGGACATGCTGAAAACTGCACAGGAAATAGCGGAGGCCTGTGACAAAGAAGGTGGGCGTCTGAATGTTCAAAATCGTATTTGTATGTTCTGCTACAGCTGCTCTATACTTACCGTTTTTCAATGTCTTACCGACCAGTTGGTGCGCTAGAGGGACCTGCTGAAGAGACCGCCAAGTCCGTCTACGACTGCCTGAAAAAGAACGTGATTGAGGTACGCGCTACGCTACGCACGACGTACGACGTCACTCAAATATACTTTAAAAACGACTTCCTAGTCGTCCACACCCTTCCTTCCAGCATGAAACATAAAACTCTGGGCAAGGCACATGAGATGGGGGTATGAAAAACTGGTCCCCAAGGGACTCTCCCAGAGAACACGTTTTCTATCAATGACGTCAAATGATGTTAGTATCAATATTTGGTCATTTGGTGGCCAGCCTTTATGCCATTATGACCATTATAAGATATCATTTGATGCCAAATTGACCACAAATCTTGACACTGATATCACTTGATGTTATTTTGACAAAACCGTGTTCCGTGGGCTACTCCATCACCTCAAATGTGTACATTTGTCTACATTAAAAAAGTCGAGTAGACATGCTTCTGTCTTCAGTATACTTTGTTTATTGTAGACCTGCTATGTCTACATTCTTTAATGGAGACAATGTTCGTAGTTGGGTTAACAGAGTATGAGTAGGTCTCTATCCCAGCCAGAAATTCTACCTCTAAACGGCGTCTAAGGTCTGTAAGACGTTATTTAGAGATGGCATTACTGGCTGGATATCCGAGAAAGGGGTAACCCGCAGAGCGTCGTAGCGTGACGGAATTGTTTTTGATCTTTTCGAAGTTTAGGGGAAATATCTCATGAACAAACTATGGTTCGTGATAGAGTAACTGCTCCTCATGCCTCTAAAACTATTGTTTTGTATGGAAAATAGCGTTGTTTTCCTTCCAAAAGATGGACATTAATTTTACGGCACACAGACCAGCTTGACCACGTTGAGTCATAATGTAACGAAATTTCAGTGCCATTCAAGCTCTCTAAAAAACCTTAGTTTGTTAAGATATCTTCTTGCAGCGTTCATGAGATATGGACGAAAAAGTTACAAAAGGTCAAAAACAATTTCATTACGTTATGACCCATGAGCCCCGTGGTGGTAAGCCCTGAGTGGGGGATGCGTAAAGTTTCCATGGACCGTAGAGCGGAGAAGGATTGTGTGGAAGTACCTGTCATCAAATTTTTCCTGTCCAAGTAACCGCTCGGAACTTTGGAATTCCCACAGAAGTCATCGGGTCAGCGCTATGGGTTTGGCGGCGGCCCACTGTGAGGACGATGTTGGAACTTTTTTCTCGAACACCGTTTGGACAGGGAAGCAGGGTTATTGGTTGGCCTCTGTGGTCCTAGTCGGGGCCAGCTTGACGTGAGTCTGGCCCGGGCTTGCCGGCCGCGAACCGGAAAGCACGCGAGGCGTGAACAGCGCACGGGTTTTCACTCGCTGTCTCTTTTGCGCGCACCGTGGTGTTCGGGCGGGAAACAAGGACAGCATGACTTGTCGTGGCGTGCGTGCAATGGCAGCTCTCGTGCCCATCTGACCCTCTGCAGATGAGTTTTGAATCTACATTGAAATAAAAACCATGATCTATTTTCAGTCAATATTCTGGCACAAACGGGGAAGAGATTAATCTAAATGCCATCAAATATTTAATGTCGTGTTTCAGAAGAAAGATTGGAAAATTGGTTCAGGAGAGTGCAGGAAACCTAATAAAAATGTAACGGAGGATAATTAAAAACATAAGAGCTTTCGGAAATTCCAAGCTTTCATTGAACCGAATAGGTTTTTTTCGGTCTCGCCAGTATACCTGGTAATAAGGCAAACTGCGCTGTCGAGTGTTGCGTAGCTGGGTGGCATGGCCTGCCACCCGTTGTGAGGGGTCCGGGGCAATTCTAGGGGTGTCCGTGCCCGTAGGTACGCACTAAAATCTAATGGACTTTTTTGTTATTCATAGCTTGCCGAAATCTGCAAACATTCTTAGCTTATGCTTGTATGAATACGGCCGAATTAACAAAACATTCTTCTTACTGGTGTATTAGAAAGTTCGTAAGCTGAGTATGTTTACAGACACCAGTAAGCTATGCTTGAAAAAAGTTCATAAGATTTTAGTGTGCACGTCACTCTGTCAATTCAAAAGTGTACATGGTACACATTTGAGCGACTGAGAGCTATGGTTTTATACAAAACATGACTGCGGCTTGAGACGGAGAGGCTGGAAATGTATTTCAAAACAACGCAGCCCCTCTCAGTCACTGACAATCCGCTTGACGTGCAGACGTTTTTTTTTACCTGGGCCCTGGGCAGATTAGTGCAGTGGGGTGGGATGATCAAGTTGAAGTGTGGTTGGGAAGGGAAGGTTGGGGTTAATTTGCTGCTACAACAATGCTTTATCTATAACGGAGCAGACTCCAAATGAAGGAAACCAGTACACTATCGGCTAATAAAAATAGCAGAGTGAGGCTTTTGATGTGGTTTTGCCTAATAATATTTATCAACAAATACAGCACTGTTTGAGTTTCGAATGGCACACACAGTTGTTTAAAGTGAATTTGCACTTCAACGTTTGCAGTGACCCCCATTTTTATGAAACCTCAAGAAAAGTATAAAGTGCGTAAACTCATAGTCTGACTTTTGTATCTAATTTTCAGAGGAAGCTGGCTGACAGTTGGAAAGTTTGAAAGGAGGACCTACTGGACGTTCTATAATACTTCTAGACAACCCTTAACGCTGGCACGGAAATTAATCCTACTACTTGTGATATGTCCTATTAACAATAATAAAGTTGGAATACAATTTTTTTCTCACCCGCTCTCTGTGTCTCATTCACCTGAAGTATTTATTCATGCATGCCCCCGCCTGCTTGAACATAATACGGCGCTTCACTTGGTTTAACACCTAGGCAGCTCCTGTGCAGTTCTCGGCACCCCGTAGGCGCATGATAGGCTGCTAGGTGCTTGCTCTGGGCGACTTCCCCTCCCGTCGCGCGTTTAACTTCCCGCCCGCTGTCCAGGACAGGAGTAAGGGAAAACGGACGTAGTGACCCCCAAGGCACCAATGGCATCCATGGCACCCATGACCGGCGCCGGTCCAAAGGGCGCGAGCCGTTGAGGTCTCGGTAGTGTCCGCGGAAATACCACAGAGTCTGGCCTCCGTTCGGTGTTCAACTTCCGGCTCCCCACTGCACTGATAAACTAAGTGTTCAACTGCTCAACAATTGTCAGTGTGTAAATGCAAGTTGAAGTCTTGCCACTGTAGGTGTGCACTTGCAAGTAGTGTGAAACTCCTCGGTTGAACACTTCTCTAGATTGAACGCTCACTGTGTAGGAAATGCTCAACCGAGGAGTTGCACACTTGCAAGTGCACACCCACTGAGTTGCACACTTGCAAGTATTCAACGTGCAGTGGCGCATTTGCAAGTATGTAACTTGCAGTTCAACACATACAACTGTTGAGCAGTTGAACAACTTAGTTTATCAGTGTGGTGAAACATTTGCGGCACTAAAGATCCAAAGACATTACAGTTTGTTTTCTAAGGGAACACTAGGTTGCAAAGCAAATGTATGTAAATTAGGAAACGGGCTGGATAGGTGCCTGGCGGAGACACATTTTCAAATTTACCTAAATTTGCTTACAACTTAGTTTTCCCTTGAAAACGTACTATGCGTCAGAGATGCGCTATTGTCTCGCCTACTGGGTGCGCAGGTGGGTCGTGCTGTCCATCCCAACTGACAGGGTCCATCAGGGAGACAGTGTTGTCAGCCTCGTGAGGGACGTCCCCTGTCAGGCGGTCGGACGCGCTTCAGGTCCTGAGCGTAGTCTGCAGCGCAACGGAGGTTTTCTCCGTAAAAGCCCCACACTAAGTGGATTTGTATATTTCATGTGTACTTACTTAAGCAATTTCATACCTTTTGCGCACATTTCTGCTTTCTTTGTAAACTCTCTGGTATTCATTTGCGCGAAATCTTGCAAATTTGTTCGAAACGTAGGTTTTACTTCGAACGTATTTGCACAAAAATATACAAATACATTTGGTGTGCCTATTCTTTTCAAACAAAAATGAAAAGATAGATATCTATTGTACACTGTTATTCAAGGAATGTGACGTCACATTCGTTTCAATGTGACACGTGTCACATTCGTTTGAATATTGTGTCACATTATTTGAACGTGACTTCCCGTGAATTGATGCTCAAATGGGCGCAGGCACTGGCCGATTCACGTTTAAGCGAATGTGACACAACATTTAAATGAATGTGACACGATTCACATTGAAACGAACGTGACGTCACATTCGTTGAATAACAGTGTATCTGTAGTACTACAGCTTCAAACTCCTCTGTTAACCGTTGTGTGGCTAACACTCAGAAACAACCTTCAGTTGAGAAAACAAATTCCATAGAGTGGTGACTGAAATTGGTAACACACTGAACCCAAACGGCGGTCAAACTTTGCACAAACGATTTTTGAGCAAAAGTAACAATTGACATAGATCTTTCCAGTTTTGTTTGATGCTCATAAATTTCTGTTTTAATGCGCCCATGCCATCTAAACTGTGCTTTGGTATTTTTACCATGGAATTGGGCCAAACATTCAATTATAGTCTACAAAAAACACTCTTTTTCCTAATTTTCTAAAAAAAGTGTACCGTGGGGACCTATGAACCACTCACGGAGTCCCATGTGCCTGACAAATACAGTGAAATTATGTATTTAAGACTTGTTTTCTTTGTACCCGTTAACAGAACAATGGGACGCCACTCTCCCCTACCTGGTGTCTAATACGCCCTGTAAAAATTCGTAGTTATTAGAGCTCGGAACCGAGTAAGGGAGCAGTCAATCAGTACGTCCGTAATTCCCCATGACGCACCTTCCAAGTTCAGCCAGTTAGCTGTCATAGCGCCCGATGGGTAGGCAACATTCTTCCTGCAGCGCGTGTGGGTACTGCGGGCTGGCCTACCCTGTGTCTCGCAGGCGCACAGCGCTAGGGTGCGGCTTAAAAGACGGTTCCCGATTATCCAACTTGCATGACTGCCCTGTCAATCTAAATGTGTACATTTTACACTTTAAATAAAGTGTGCATGGCAGGGATGCTTTAAATAATGTGTACATACCCATGGACACATTTATAAAAGTGTACATAGGCATGTACACATTAATTAAAGCATACGTGCAATGTGCACTTTATTTATGGTGTACAATGTTCACATTTGAATTGACAGAGTGCTTTTTCCTTTTCTTTTGAGGTCTAGAAGCCAGAACAAAATCCCGCGGTTATGGCACGAGCCTTTACCGTGCCGCATCCTACGTCTAAATTTACGTGTAATTCTTATGGAAAAAACGCATTAAAATCGAAATCTGCATTATGCGGGCCTACACTGCATATTTTTTCACAAAACCTTGTAGAAACGTAATCCTCTAGTGATTAAAAAAAACCGGCGATGTGTCACACATGATGTTTCACTGTACAGTTCATGCGGTACTCAGCACAAATTTTGGCAAATTTACACCGTTTTAATGAAAATTGCAAATTTACTCCACGTGAACTCTGTTGTAAGTAACCATGTGTGGCACATGGCCGGGTTTCTTTACACTAGAGGATAGCGTTTCTACACGATTTTCCCTAATAGAAGCGAAACACCCAAATCGGACCCATTTTAGTACCAAAATACTCCCTCTTGTTTTAAGGGACTAAAAGAGGATTTGGAACTTTCGAAAATCCCTCTGAAATCTCTTTTTTCTGAAATCCCTCTGAACTCCCTTTTCCCTGCGACACGCCGTTTCAGGGAGAATTTAGAGAATAGTGGAGGAAGCTTCTTAGGCCATTTTTAACATGTCAGGCGAACTCACATGGCCGGGAAGTATACTCTACATCTGTACAATATGTATATATACATACATATCGTTAGAAGCAAACTTGTGGCTAGGCTCTATCGGTCCCCGTGGGCAACATGGCCACGGGATTCTAAATGGGATTCCGAAGGGATTGGGTGTAATACCATGGCGGAATCCCTTGTCCCTGTTTTGACCCGTTTTGACAAGTTTTCGGGATTTGGGATTTGTAGTTAGGGACTAAAATAGGATTCTTTTTTCTATTAGGGTTGTCAAGAAAAAAGGCAGTGGACGCCCGCGTGAAGCAAATTTTAATTTTAAGGCTTTTTACTATAAGAATTACATGTAAATGTAGAGGTAAGATGCGGCACAGGAAAGGCTTTTGCCACGGCCACGGGATTTTTTTTTCTGGGTTCTAGACCTCAAAGGACAAAAAAGAGCAGTGATGCAAGTTGGAAAATTGGGATCCGTGTTTTAAGCCGCACCCTACCCAGCGCCCTAATTTGCTAAGTAAACTAAGTGAAGATAAAGTTTTTGGCATGTCTCTGTAAATGGGTTGGTGTTTTATGATGCCAAAATATTGGTGTCCTCAATAGAACGACAAAATTTGGCGTCATAAGACGCCAATTCTTGGCGTCATTAGACGCAAATTCTTGGCGTCATTAGACGCCAATTCTTGGCGTCAAGACGCCAGAATTTGTCTTCATAAGACGCCAAACCGTTTACATAGTGGCCAACCTTGCTGACTGGCGGGTCGGACTTCCTCGCGCAGGCACTGACCTCACCGGAGCCGCCTTGCACCACGGCGTGGCGTCCGCGCCGACCTTGAAGGGGTGCGAAGTGCAAGTCAGCTGGTGCGGCAACACCTCCGAGGGGCTGCAGCGGCCGCTTCCCCGACCCGTCCCGTCCGTTCGCCCGGCCAGCCCAGCCGCCAGGCCGAAAGCAGCCGAAAGCTGATAGCGAGACAAATCAGGGGAAGTGGGGGGTGGAGGGGTGTGGCGGGGCGGAGCGGGCAGGGGGCTATAAAGCGGAGTGCTGGCGTGCGGCGGCGCACTGCACTCGGCACGAAACAGCGCCCGCACACCACACGGATTATGAAGGTCTTCGTCCTACTCGCTGTGGCGCTTGTCGCCTACGCTTCGGTAAGGCTGTCTGCTCGATCATCATTCATTATTATTATCATTGTTGATAATTTCTCCTTAAAGTGTCTCAACCACTGAACCTGTCTGTCAGGCGGATGAGGCGGCCCGGGAGCGGGCTAAGGCCATCAAGAAGGAATGCAAGGAGCAGGCTGGTGCCACAGACGGTAAGGGTCACTTCATGAACGAGGGTTACAATGCAATGGAAATGACTATTCAATTTGTGCGGTCCTGACTTGTGTTCAAATAACCGTACATTGAATTTATGTTTACAGATGACCTGAAAGAGCTAAAAGAAAAGGATGAGCTACTGTCGCCAGTGAACAAGGTGGGCAATCCAAGGATGGGGAAATAGAAATTTCGTACTGTGAACAGTGAACAGTCTCATGAGCAGGTGCGTTTTACTGTTACAGAAACTGATGGCCTGTGTCTTTTCAAAAAACAAAATCGTAAGTTGAACTTTTTCTTGATTGATATGATGTGGGTGCTTTGCGAGGTGCTTTTTTCGAGTGTGTTAAGTCGTTGTCGAGGAAAACAAAAGGAGCGGTGCAAAAGAGGAAGGGAAAGGGGGGATGGCAGAAGTATAATCGTTATAGCTTGAGACAATACGTGCATTTTGTGAAGGACTAAGGAAACGTGCACATGGAAAGGTCGTTGGCCTCCGAATTTTGTCCTTTTACTAAACCATAAAAAATACATATAACAGTACTTTTTTTTAAAAATGTGGCTGGTCGTATTGCCTCTGCCCCCATCTGATAGCCACGCGCTCCGCACGCTACCTGCAACCTCCAGCCTCCCCGCTCAAACCCTGCCAAAATGGGCTCAACCATTATTTTACGGCTGTCTCTTTAGTAACCGTGCGATGGGTGCGTCAGCTTTCCATTAATCGCCATTAATGCTGCGGAAAGGCTAATTTCGATTCTTTGTCCCAAAATGAACTAGTATTTCTCAAATGCAGGTATCAAACGCCCCGGGACGCCGTAGTTAGTTCCAAACTCCACTCTGAATTTTTAAAGTGCCCATCGACACATTGTGTTCCAGATGCAAAACAACAAGTTCTCCAAGGAAGGCTCGATGGAGGTGGCGCGCGAACTCATGAGCGGCCGGCCCGAGAGCGAGACGAAGCTCAAGATCGCCGAGCAGATTGCCGACAACTGCGCCAAAGAGAGTGAGTGCTGTGCAACAGAAACCCAAGTGTGTGAATGTTGCACACTTGTAGGTGAATGAACAACATTCGTACACATTGAGGCACAAGTGTGTGAATTTCGAAGAAAAACTCACACCTTTACTCCTTTAATGGTACGAATATGGGCACTCACACTCCTACAAGTGTGCGACTTCCCCCCACTTGGGTTCCAAGCTTAAGCTTACAGTGAGGGTATTTAGGTAGGTGTTCAAGTGTGCTGTTGAACAGTACCATATTCAAGCATCCTGTCAATCAGATAAAAGTGTGCCGCATAGTGTTGCAAGTGCACGGAAGTCGTACAATTTGCAAAAAATGAAGGAAACTGCCATGTTGATAGAAGTGTTTTCTGAATCTGAGGCGAACGTGAGGTCGGGCTCGTACGGCGCGATTAAGAGAACCTTATCAGCGTCCCTTTCTCTCCAGTCAGAGAGTTATCTCTGCTCTCACTTCCCGCTCATTATCCGGCGTGTGCAAGTGGTTGATACTGCGTATGCCCAATCGACGTAAATCCAATCGACAACGTTAAATTCGTTCTCACTGAGAAAATGTTTTCTTGCCGTACACCACCACAAAAAATTTGTTTCCACCACTAAAATTATTCGGCGCGGACACAAAATTTTGAGGCCCAGCAACAAAACGTTTGTGCTCAGGACAAAATGGTTCAGTGCGTCCAAACTTTCGGTCTTGGGACAAACTGTTTAGTGTTCAGGATTAAAGAAGTTTTTTCCGTGCTGATGACAAAATTTTGTCATTAAAGACATCAATTCTCTGATGGTCAATAACTGTGGTGATGTCTCTTTTGTAGTTGGAAACGTGGAGACTACCGGCGACGAAATGGCAAAACTCATCTTCAACTGCCTAAAGAAACAAGCGAAAGAGGTATGGTAGACAGAAGTAACACGCGTCACTCTTGCGGAGGAGCGACGCCCATTCCTTCTAATTACGTTGTTTTTCCTGGAACAGCGACTCTTTTTTTCGTCTCTCTATTTAAGTGATGATTTTGTACACATTTCTTTATTTGAATGACTACAGTCGCTCAATAAGAGTGATGACTCAAAACCATCACTCATGTGTACACTAAAAACACGCAAGTGTGTAAATCTCATGTCAGGTGTGTGAATGCACATTCGTGCACTCACCCGGGTGAAAGAAGACCTGATCTGAGGGCGCAGTTAATTGATTTTTTACTTATGTTCAGCTACTTGGAGCTGATGAAACGGAACTGCGTTGAGCTGTTCAAAAGCAGAACAAGCTGAGTTTCAGCCGAATTTACCCGACCTGTAGCTAACCTGAGGCACTGAGGCTGCTGTCTTCATCTGCACATGTTAGAATACTGATAAAATTGAGAGTCGCTGAACTGGGAAGCGAGAAAAGACTGAAAGTCAGCTGCCCTGAGCTGACAGCTTCCTGAAGATACTCATACTAACTAATCGGGCAACTGGTGCAGTACTAAGTTGTACTGACTGACACCTGACTAGAGGAGCTGAAAGGGATTCAGTCCATGCTCAGGTACTGGCAGTGACCAGCCCGACTGAGTATTACTGGCCTTTGGCTGATTCAGTCTCATCCGGCCTCATCTCAGGTTCATTCAGTTTCGATCTGGTGAACTGATAGTTCGCTGAAGTAAACTGACTCTCTGTCAGCCCCAAGTCAACTCCAGGCGCCTTATGTTAGCCCACTTTCAGGTCGTTCAGTCTCGCCAGATAAAATCAGCCCCAGGTGGATTGAGTCAGTTAACCCCGGCCTCAGATCAGCTCTTTTTTCACCCGGGTACAGGGAAAAAAATGTGAATTCTCTTTCGAAAATTCACACGCTTGTGTCACCATCTGTACGAATACATCTAGAAATGTGCAACATCTATTCATACACTTGTAGCAATATACTCACCAACTAAATAGAGCGACGAAAATTGAGATCCCTCTACTTGGGCTATTGTAGACCGTACACATCAACCGAGCATTTCTAGTAATGTTTGCACTCAGAAAGCCGTCTTGGTCCAAGAGCAAAATTCTCTTAATCGAATGAAGAGCATTTTGCACTTGATTTGAGAGCAATTTCCCTTGTACCTAGACAAAAAACGCTTGATTCAAGTTTAAAATAAGGTGCATTTAGTACTTGAATCAAGCGTTTTTGTGCAAGTACAAGAGACACTACTTTCAAATTGAGTGCAAAATGCGCTTCATTCACACTGCATTTTCGTTCGAAGTATCAAACTGTTTGGGTGCTAGGAGGCATTTCTTGACGAAAATTAGGTGAAAATGACCAAATAGTCTATTAAGTCGTAAAAAATGCCTTATATTGAAAAATTGTACAGGAAGTAATACTTCAACCACACAGTTGTCGTCGAAACACACCCTTCTTTGGGCTCAAGGGTCCCTAGATTATCTAGTATTACATAACAATCTGTCAAAATTCGAACTTTAAATGAAAACTTTCATCGAACAGTAGATGTTTCATTTCCCTAATTTTAGAGTAATAGGTCCCCGACCCTGTCAAATACTATGAGTATGACAAATTTTGGGGCCGGAAGGCCCTGTTCCCGAATACCCTTCCATTAACTCGTCTCGTGTGTCAGCGCCGCAGGCCTAGCTATCTGTGCGCGTCGCAGCGTAACAGTGTTTCGTGAGATATGGCGAAGCCTGTTACGCGACACGTGGTCTGGCGTACATATAGCTAGTATTCGATAAAGATATTCATTAAAAGTTTTGATTTTGACAGATTGTTATGATAAATCAACGTTTTAGTGATAGTAGATTATCAAGGGACCCTTGAGTCCAACGGAGGCCGTCGTTCAACGCCGGATGTGTGGTTTAACTGTTACTTCCGGTGCAACTTATCAATTTGAAGCCTTTTTTACGATTAAGTAGACCATTTTGGTCATTTTCACCTTATTTTCGCCAAGAAATGTCCCCTAACACCCAAACGCAACACGATAAAGCAAAACCGACGAAATTTGAAATTTACGCCAACAGGGTTTTACCTTTACGAGTTACACGTTAGAAACCTATTAAAAAATATTCGAAAATAAATACATTTTGCAACCTGTGAGCTAGAATTCTCATCTTCGAACACGCTCTGTCTTTTTATGTTACAAAACGACCCTGAAATTCCCAGATCGCTATCTCAATTCCTACTCGAGTTATCGTGCACACAGACAAACAGACAAACAAACAGATGAAACTTTTTCGGTCAGTGGAGTAATGGGCTTAGCTAATCGCTCAGCCAATGACTTTTTTAACAGAGTACCACAGTACACACAAGTAAGAAGTAAGTGTGCATTTACCAAAGTACACACATGACAAGTGTGTACGTTACGTTACTTAAGGTAAAGTGCAAACTTCTTTCTGCGTACTATGGTAAAGTACACACTGTTATTCAAGGAATGTGACGTCACATTCTTTTCAATGTGAAATGTGTCAC